AGGGAGATCATTTTCTTTTCTAATAAATGTATAAGTTGATTTAGTTGAAACATTACCATCTTTAGTGTCAAGCCATATCCAATGGTCATTTTTTTGCGACCCTAAATTTAAAGGGATTGCCATGATTTTTTCGACCATATCACTTGGCAAGAGAGAAGAAATCAGGTTGATGTCCCAATCACCAAAAGCAGTTATACAATCTTTAACACTCCTCAAATTAACATTTGGGAGAGGCCCATGCAACCGATTCTGACTACAAGTAGTCCTAGAAACCCATGGGTCATCCCAAAAATTAGTGTCTTCTCCATTCCCAGTGGCACGTATGAGTCTCTCCCTAAGAAATTTACAACCTTTAGCTATTCCCTTCCAAATCCAAGAGTCATGACCTTTTATGCATGGGTCCAAAACATCAGTTCCCCTACCGTATTTACTAATTAGGACTTTGGACCACAAACTATCTTGGTTACAGTAGAGGTGGCACGCTAATTTAGTGACAAGAGCTAGATTTAAGGAGTGGAGGTCCCTAATTCCAAGCCCTCCAACATGCTTAGGAGTCAGAATCTTCTCACATTTAATAAGATGCAATTTCCTGTGATCAAGAGAACTTCCCCACAGAAAATTTCTTCTAGCTTTGTCTACATCTTGGCAGGTGCTTGAGGGTAAACAAAAATTTTGCATGGCATGGAGGGGAATTAAGGATAAAGTAGATTGAAGAAGGGTTAATCTACTAGCAAGACTAAGAGTATTTGTCTTCCATCCTGTTAATTTGGTTTGAACACGGTCGACCACAGAATGGAAGGTATGTTTAATAACCCTACCACTAAAAACGGGGAGCCCAAGATATTTATCAAGGTTGTTAGAAGCCCTAACCCTAATATTTCTGACCAGCATTCAGGTGTGTCTATGGGGAACATTCCTTGATGTAAATAAGATAGATTTATTATAGTTAATTGTTTCCGCAGAAGCACTACAGAAATTATCCAAGATATTTCTCACACAATTGAGCTGAGTAAAGGAGGCCTTTAGAAAAATAAACAAGTCATCTTCGATAACTCGGGGCCTGTTCTAGACAAATTAGGAAAATGTAGGGGGAGAGGGGGTCCCCTTGTCTAAGACCTTCAATTGATAACGGAATGACTAGACAATTGCGGATTCCACACCCGTTTTTTTTCACTTCCGCACCTAAATCTTAAAACACCCTTAAAAAGTTTCTAAAGCAACAGTTGGAATCCGTGTCGCCTAACAATCCAGTGCTTAGTATGAACCAAATAAGTAATGAAGGGTGCAAGCAAATACACAAAGTAACATCTGATTATCTGAAGCAACAACCGACCAAATACATTGTTCAGTAGGAGTTTTCACAATCACCATTACAGCAAGAGAAATCACGCCCTAGATTCTCTGAAAATGCTAGCAAAATCAAACCGCAGATGACAGATAGACCCTAATCGACTCAAACAATCAAGGCAGAGGCTAGTAAACAAATAATGGTGAGACGCTGAAATAACCCAATACGGTCGCAAAACCCTAAACTGCATTGGAAGAGCAAATAAATGTGTGTAAGAGAGAGAGAGGGAGAGAACTGACCTGAAGTTGAGGTATTGTCCGACGATGAAGAGGGGCCAGAAGTAGAGAGGAGGAGGCCAAGAAAGTGTAGACACAGAGACGAGTGAGAGGATCTGAAGGAGCTTCAGGAAGTAAGACACTCGAGCCATCATCATTGATGGGTCTCGCCCTTTCCCACACAACTCCACCCATGTCGCCGGGTACGTCCATAGCCAATAGTAGAATGGAAAGGGAAGGAGCACAAGTATACCAGTAAGAATGCTCATTCTCAATTGCTGACTACTACTACTACTACTACAGTCTTCAATTCAACTCTGAAAAATCTGGCTCACCATTTTTCCCGTCAAATTACAGGGTTGCAGATGGAATAGACTTGCAAGTTGCAATGCAAGACGTTAGTTTACACAGTGCATCGTAGTAGATGATCGCATCGAATTGATCCCACTCTTGGACCGTTGAAAATGGATATTAACCATCTTGGTTAAGTAGAAGTCGATGATGATGATGGGACCGTTTGATCATAGTAGGGTCCAAGGAATTTTTTCGTGATCCGCAAATCATTTTTGACCACCGATCGAAGTATCGGCATCGCGTACGCGTACCAAGAGAAGTTCTAAACTGAAGTACCAAAAAAATTTCTTCTAACTTGGAGTGGAGAGAGTACAAAGGAAGCTAAGGGGAGAGTTTGAAGAGAGTCAAAGGCGAGAAACGTCAACAAGTGAAAGAAACAAAACTTGGGAAAACGTCAACAACTGGTCCCATAATGCTAATGGCCAAGGCGAGAAACGCATGAATATAAATAATATTCACGAGTAGGATGATGACCATTAAAATTTAAAAACATTGGTAATGGACCTTAGGTTCGTTGAAGGGAAATATGTGATTATGAAATGGGAGACGGGGTTTTACACCTTGCATGAAAAGCTATATAATGTTATGTTTAGGGTAGGATTCTTGGTCTTCCTTTGGAGTTCTTGGATGAGGAATACTTAACTGTAATTATGCTTGGACCCTAGTTCTCACCATATTCTCTAAATGCTGATCTAACAAATCCGTTGGTCCTCGAAATTCTTATACTTCTAGGTGGAGATAGGGGTGCAATCGGATCGAGCTCTAATTCAATAATTCACACTGTAAGTTTAAGTTTGATTTAATTGAACTTGAGTCTCAAGAAAAGTCTAATTAATTATTCGAATTCAAATTTGAGTAATAAAAAATTCAGCTCGAAAGTTTGTGAGCCTGATTCAAATCATATCTATCTATAACCATTAATAAAAATGAACATGTTTCTCTTACTTTTGGTTGACAACCCTGACTTTTTTTCCAATTCTACCCTTTATTTAATTTGTTAACCATTAAAAATGAGCATGTTTCTCTTGGTTTTATCGATAACCCTGATTTTTTTTCCAATTCTACAATTTACTTAATTTGTTATTTCAATCAATGTGATTGAGATTATGACATTTGAGACACATGTTATAGACTTAGATTGCATGAAATTGGACAAGTGTATTGGGCAGCTGTCCACTTGTTGCAACCCACCCCCAAGTGGGAGAGTTCATCTTTTTGGAATATATAAGATTTTTTGGTCAAATGGTTGGGTGCCATGCTTCTTCTGACTTCTAATCTTCAATACTTTCTTCACAAGCTTCTATGCTTCCAATAAGATAACTAAGGCTTGAGCATTCGGAAATGGTTCAGCATCTTATGTGTCGGAAACAACATAGTCATGCCACCAAAACCAACTATAAGTTGTCAAAATTCCAGGTGAGGAGCTCATTTTCTAGAGCAACAAGAAGAGAGGGAGTCGTCACTTATTTCGCCCCCACTTTTGTTAAATTGCCAATCCCTTTCTGCTCCCATGACCGTTTTTTATTTCTTTCCATTTGATGATCATTTTATAAATTACTTTTTTTTCTAATTTTTCCAATTTACTTTATACTTGTTGCTTGCAGTAGATCCCATCACATGAGGGCTGATAATTATGAGTTGATGCCACTTACCATTTGAATGCACAAATGCAGTAAATGAACAGAAGAGACAACAACCATATGTAAAGCACACAATGTTTTTGGTTTTTTGTTGCTTGAAACTTCTTGAGAAACTTGGGAATCACTTTAATCCAGTTAAATTGGAATCTATAATTGAACATTTTTTTATGGATATGTCAAATGTGATACAGTTCAAAAAACCATACTTATGTTGATATGCTCATGCTTTGCTAAGAAGTTGCTTGATTGATTATAGTTGGGTTGATATCGGTAAAAAAACTAATGTTTTTGGATCAGAGGATTGGGTTCAAATAAATATTAGGGTTTGTGTGGTATGCAATTTTGCCATTTTATATATGGATCTTATTCTCATAGTTGTAGAGATTGCTGGTAGGAACTTGAAAGCGTAAAAGTAAAACCACCTCTCATTGAACATGGTGATAAAGATCCTTTTTTTAATTTCTGGACCTAGGGTCTATGCTATCCATGACTTTCACAAATATTGGTTTTTGTTATTTAATGCAAATACATGTAACTAATAATCAGAGGCTGCATGAATAGGTTATCATTTAGGGTCTGAAAGTTTAATTCTGGTGATAGCTAGCTTGTTGAGTGTATAAGACCATGCAATATTGGATGATATATGGAGAGATGACAAATTAGAGTATTATCATTGGGATTCAAATTTATAATCATTATCAATTGAACCTCCTAATGGAGGGGAATAACTTTAATGTGATCAAAATTTCTAGCAATAGCGGATTATACCACTAAAATTTTTATTCTCAAAAAGAGCCTCCTAATCTATTTGGAAACATAGTGCTACATTATTCATCAAGTGAAGAACTCTTACCAATTGTTGGAGGATTTCAACAACATCTTTCAACCTTTCATTTTGAACTTATAAAGATGATGAACTTTTAAATAATCACAATAAAAAATGGAGAGCTATCATCTTAACTGTATTGTTCTATTATATTTGGAACTAACTCTAAATTTGAACACGTATAGAACTATGTGGTATTGGCCCTAACTATATATCTTATAATTGACATCGGTTATTGATTTGTTGGTATCTAAGATAGTCTTTCTATTCATGCTATCGTGTCTTGAGAGAAAATGTAGATCAAAACAAAAGTTGAATTACAATAAAGAACAACCTATTACTGAGATGAAAAGATCTTGCAAGAGTAAGGGCTCCGCCTTGATTCCTTCTATGTCATTGGAATTACATATGAATTAATATTATTGTTGTAGGTATATATCTATAATGCACAATTAGAATGAGTTCTAAGTCTTTGTATATCCAAATTTACAAATGGACAAGTAATAAAGATTCCTCTGTACATATATATACTTGAATGATTTGATGTCTTTCATGTAGTTCAAAGTTAATGGTTTTATTTTTATTTTATTTTACTTTTGTGCTTATGGCTCAGTTCAGAAAGAGTAGAAATACAAGTATGTACAGTGCAAATACATACAAAAATACAAGATTTTGTACTCTACATATTTGTATTTGTACTCCTTCCAAACTGAGCCTATAGTGTAAATGTATTACAAATTCTTTGTTTAAGTCCGACTAATTGTTTAAGCACATCCCATTTTTAATAGGGAGATAGAACTAATTATTAATATGAAACAAAGGTAACTCTATTATCAGCTTTTATCATTATAAATAGGGTATGTTTTTTTTGTGTCTTCACTAGATCATAAATCTTATTAATGAACTCTCTACAATTTTATTTATGTCTTAAAACAATTTTTTGAAAGGTAAACAAACTATATTATAATTCCATAAAATTAACAAATGTCTCAAAACATTTGTAGTGCCTTTAGTCCCCTTCAAGATTGTATTATGGTGTGGTGAACTACATCAACTTAGGTATTTAGGCAAAAAATAAAAATAAAATAAACGGTTCACTTGATTCAATCCTCTTGTTTGAATTAATTTCTATATTCACTTACATAAATGTTCTATGTCAAACTTCTACAATGTTGAATTTTGAAAGTTTTGATTCCATATGCTTTGAAATGCTGAATTTATACATTATATCTTTGCCCTAATTTTTTTATTTTTTCATATTTGAAAGTCGCTACTTATATAATTCAAAAATATTTTTTTGGCAACAATATGGTGAACATACACGTGCATCGCACGTGCACACCCACTAGTATTTTATAATATATGCTATGAAAAATATTTTAATGTAAAATATATGTTTATATTTTATATAATATAATATACTATATATTATAAAAATATATCATATATGCTTATAAAAAAGAAAAAATATATTCATTTTTGAGCTTTTGAGTCAAAAGTCGAGCTCATCGAATATTTAATAGAATCGAACTTGAATCAAATTCAAATTTGCGCTCAAACTTAGTAGTATTTTAGTTAAATCAAGCCAAGACATGCCAAAGTTTGATTGGCTCAGTTGCACCCCTAGGTACAGAAAGCCATGTCTACAATGTACTATATGATCCATATAGCATGTGGTAGTCTTGGGTACATAGCTTCAAGTTTCACTTGCATTAATAGAAACATAATGATTGTGGAAGGGAGTGATTAGATTGAGATGAAAAACAAAAAAAAGAAAATGGGATGGTTATTGGTTAAAGCCAAACAAAATGAATATTAGAATGGAGAAGAATTTTTCATTCTAGGAAGTGGGAAAAAACCTAAGGAAGACTAAGAACCAAGACTAATAAGGCCCATTTGAGAAGTCCAATCTCAAGTTGCCATGTGTCCTTAAACAAAAGGTTCAAGGAACTTGCCAATGACCCGAATCTGCCTGACCGCCAAATAGACCAACCAATCTTACATGAACACCTCCAACACGCTTAGATCCCAATAAAGACAACCACCAAGAAGCTCGGACCGAGCCTAGCAACCATCTCCTAACAGGACTAGGACTCCTCGGTGAGCATGACACCTCCTTTATAAATTTGTGAGACATCCCCCCAAAAAAGGTATGCACATGTACTATACCCTCTTTTACCCCTTACATTGTCTTCTTTCTTTCCTCATTAACCTAGCCTCCTTTGCTTAGTTTGATGACCCTTTTCTTACTTGCTAACTTAAGCATCAACGAGTTCTCTCCCATGGGCACACCTCAGGACTCTGCATTTCTTGCAGGTGCCTTTGGAAGTAGTTCAGTTTATGCAACCTCCTCGATCGGCTTGTCTGGTTCCCAAACTCATCCCTTTCTTTCATCTGTTGCCCGATTCATTAACGAAAACAAAGGCAAAACTTAAGCTCCCTTTAAGAACTAACAGTGTTATCCCTAGGTTCATCTCACTAGAACCATTGAGAAAGGGTCCTTAATGGGTGATCAAGGAACCTATTGGAAGTAGCTAGGAAAAAGAGTAAGAAAGAAAACCTTGTTTCTTTTAGTCCAAAAAATGAACCTTAGACTCTTGGCAAAGGGAGGTGGACAGTGTAGTCCAAGAGGAGGATGTTCAAGAAGAATGTTCTAAGAAAGACTCAATTCTGGTCATGGTGGGTTTAACAATGAGATCATTATGGTGAATGGAGAAGAGGAGAACAAAGGCAA